TGGTATGCATCCCGATTTGAACAAACTATTACATTAATAATACTAAGGGGATATTTGATAGTAAGGAATTATTAGTAAATCAGTTATCATAATGATATTGCTGTTTCTAAGCACTCCAAGAGTTTTAAAAGAGGTACAAACGTAGATATTCACTTTTTAAAAAGGCAGGTAGTAGGAAGAAGGATGAGGAAAAAAGGCGCAGGTACAAATCCCCCGCAGAGGACGGATGACCAGCGGCTGTCAGAGAGGAGCGGTGCTCTCTAAGATCTTCCCCGGCTGGGGGACCAGCTGGGTGCCCTCTAACATCTGTGTTGACTGAGAGTGTCGATATTGTAGTGGCTACAAAAAACGCTTCACAGAGTGTTTGTAGCTCCCTCGTGTAAAGAAAGAGCCGATTTCTGGACCCTGCCCTTGTATTCCATCATCTCACTTGCATCATTATTGAGTCTTTGTTTCACGTCTGTCTAATCCCAAGACTGTCCTATGACTGATCAGGCTATCTTGCGTTCACCGCTGAATTCCCAGAATCTAACATGGCACCTAGCACAGAGAGGGGATATGGTAATTGTAGAATGAACCAATGAATAAACAGTGAATGAATGAATAGCCCATAATTGAGAAAGGAGAGAAAAGCCCAGTGTCCCAGTAAAGATCATTGCCAAAGTCATAGCATAATAATAATAAAGTTTTTTAAGTACTAAAAAAACAAATGTGTGGTGAAATGAAATGACTCGGTTTTGTGCTTTTCTCCATAATCTTTGTAACTCCCACTCAGGCTGCTGCAAGTAATGTGTAGAGGACTCTAATTCGGGCTGGTCAGTTTTGCCATTCTGCTGGGTCTAAGAGTGAGCCACCTGAGTAGCAGGAACAGAGGAATCCCACAGCCACCAAGAAAGAAGCATGTGCAAATCCCTGCCTGAAGTGGTAGAGGCACCAGAGGCCACAGCACGGAGACCACGAGATTCAGAGCAGAGGTCCTGCCCTATAGCCATGAGATAGAGTGGGGGGCTTCCTGGCCTATGGATGGAATAAAATGGGGTGCTCTCAGGCTGGAGGCTGGTTTGTCAAGTGGGGTGCCCTTTAGACATATGCCAGTACAAAAGGGAACATTCTAACACTTTTCCAAGCAATGTCGAGGCCAAGGCTAGAGGGAAATGTGCTAAGAGGCAGTGCAGACAAAAGAACTATATATTTACCATTTTGTAACTTATCTTCTGTAATAAACTCCCATGATCAGGTGTTTTTGTGAGTTGTGTGTGACCATTGCAATGGTTTACTGAACCCAACAGAGTCCTGTGGGAAGGTTATAAATTAAGCTGGTTTCCAGGGTGTCAGAATAGGATTTAAAAAAAGGATGGTGGAGGCTTGTCTGACCCCCTGCCTCATAGGAATCTCTGTGGGCAGATATGAACTTGGATTCTTCTTCCCCCTTCTATAACCCGAAGAGGTCAGACATGGCTTCCAGGCGGCCACGCCAGTCCTTCAGCATGTCGACATATTCCAAGTGAAAGTCCCTCACAACAAAGTGTATTATGACCAAATTCTCTACATAAATAAAGCCCAAAAGAGGTTGGCAGAGAGGGATTTCCATCATGTGAAAAATCTTTACGGTTGTAGCCAGAAGGTTGGTTTTTGTTTTGTTTAGCCACAAGGTTTTAAGGGGGGTTGGCCCGAATAAGGAAGGGTCTGTGTGAGAGGACAGAACGCATGTTAGACAGAAGCTGCTCCACCTCATCCACAGGGGAGACCAGCATTCCTCTGCTCTCGACATTCATCCAGGCGAGGGGTCCAGGTTTTCCTGTCAAGCTAACTGCAACAGGGGGACTGAGACATAACCGAAGAATGAATGAGGCATAACAATCTGAGTGATTTCTAACAAAACAGATACGGCTTTATATCATAGTGTCACTAATAATATAACCATTGTTAAAATGCTAGTTGTTAAACAACCATTTTGAAGCAAAATGAGGGTCCGAGTGGAGACCCAGAGCCCATCTGTAGACAATCAGACATCACCTCACAGAAGGGTCACAAGGAAGGGATGAGTCAACCTGGGTGCAGTATAGCACTGACGAAACACACAACATTCCTCTAGTTCTTTAATGCTTCCTCCCCCCCACTATCATGACCCTAGTTCCACTGCACAAATCCGGCTAGACCAGAGCACGTACACTGCTACAGATAAAAGCTCTCAACACACGACGTGGAATCCAGGACAGATAACCCCTCAGGAACAGTAATGGGAGTAACAATACCAAGAGGGTAGGGGGAAGGTGTGGAGAGAAGGGGGAAGCAATTGCTTGAAGTATAACCCCACCCCCACCCCAGGGGGACGAACAACAGAAATGTGGGTGAAGGAAGACAGTGGATGGTGCAAGATATGAAAATAATTTATAAATTTAAAAAAATGCTAGTTGTCACTGACTTTTATTGATGGCCACCCTACGTACGTCAGAGCGGAACTGTGCTCCCCGCAGTGCTCATCGTCTGAGTTTCTAGAAGATCACCAGGCCCTTCATCGGAGGCCCTTCTGGGTAAGGTCAGACACTGACTTATGGGTGAGCAGCTGAGTGGACTAACCGTTGGCTTGCCCATCCAGGGGACTTCAATTTAGCCGTAAGAGTAGATTCAGTGTGAGGATCGTTTTGTCTTTTGGATTATTATGAAGTTTTTGTTCTCAATGAAACGAAAGATGCTCGCTCACAAGGCCAAACGAACGTCAAAACCTGACAGAGAATATTTCTTTACTGGTCTCCTGAATAAATGTTCAGATCCATTCTAGGTAGTCACATAAAAGCCAAGAAGTAGCAGCAGGAACTATTTGAAATGAGATGAGCCTTTTTTTAAATTTTTATTATTTTAAGCTTAATTGATTCCTGAGGATAAGTGTTTGCTTCTCCAGTTTCTTCCAGGAGATCTTTTCCTTCCCTGCCGCCTCCTCGTCTGGTTTTGGAACAGTGTGTTCCTTTTCGGTGAGGGTCATTTCAACACGGCTGGGGGAGCTGATGGATGGACTGATCCGACCAGGAGCTCTCTAAGTGTGGCGGCGCATTCTGGGGGCTTTGTTCACCTGGATGTGCCCAATGACCAGAGAATCCACACCTAAGCCCTTCAGTTCAGCATGACGTTTTGCATTTGGAAGCCTGTGCAGCAAAAATTCAGCCCACTTTTTGGGTCACCAACCCTGGCTCCACCCCCACTGGTTGGGCTGGGCACACCTACCAACTCTACCATGGTAACCTTGGAAGGGCACACACTGCTTCTGCAGAGTGGCATCTTTCAAGTATTTGCTGGCTTTCCAGATAGGCATACCCCTGATGGCCTGGGCAGTGTCACGGGTGTTCTCAAACTGGACCCGGAGATTCGGCCTTCTTGATTTGCATAATTTTGGGGGTTTTCTGAGTCAAGTGAGTTGGGAACCATTTTGGCATATCACCTCAGGCCACTATGGAGGAGGAGATGAGCTTTTTAAGAGCTTTCTGGAATTCACTGGCTCACGATTATACTTTTAATACGATCATCTGAAAAGAAATTAAACTTCGGAACACATAGACTTATATTTTAAACCTAAGTAGTTTACTTCAAAGACAGCGACTTAGTCACAGACGTGGCATGGGCCGGGTGAGAGTTAGAGCATTACTTGAGAGGACAGTGGCTGCAGGGCTAAGTCAGACATGCTCTGAGCCCGGATGATGGCATTCTGTATCATGGAAGAGAGTCTCCCTGACTGCTTCGCCGTCTCTTCCAGTTCAAGAGGCTGGAGCGTATGTGGGCTGAACAGACACCGAGGCTCTCCCAAGATGCCAACTCTGTGGAAAGAACAGCTGGTTCAGCTGAAGCAAGGGGGCTCCAGAGCAAGGGGGGTGCAGACAGGGGCCTTCAAAAAGTCTGTAGAAAAATAATCATCCTGGCTTCGGCGGCACTGAGTGAATGGTGATGGAATAACTTGGGAAAGGATATCAGGAATGGTTGTACAACAGGAAGAGTCTCATCGATGGCTCTGAATTCTACAGGTAGAAGTCGTAGAACTGGAGACAGTTTTACTGTGCATATGCCTGCCACAATTAGAAAAAAATAAGTACACGAATAACAATGAGTTCGAGGAAGAAAATGTTCTAGAATTCAATGTGGTGATAAGTGTACAACTCTTCTTGATATTGTTCAATTATTGAATTAGATGCCATGTGGATGAGGTGCTAATGAAAGCGGTTAAAATGAAGAAAATTAAAATAATTTTCCCCCGTGAACTCTTTGAAGCCTCCTTGTATGCATACCAAAGCTGTGTGTACTACATCGCTTTGCATGTTTCCATGAGCCCCCACTGTAGTATTGCATACAGGCCTTAACAAGACCCATAACAAAGATGAGTGTTGCTAACAGGAAACTTCAGCCTTAGAAAGTCTGTCTCCCCCTCCTCCAAACTAGAAGAGTTTGGAATCCAGCACAGCTTCCTCGCAGGAATTGTCTCGTCTAAGTGGGTATACCTAGAGACCAGTGGAGAGGTGCAGGGCCCAGGGAGGGAGGCAGGCATTTTCACCTTTGTCTGATCTTATGCCAGAACAGCCCCTGACCTTATGACCCCCAGCCACCCCCCAAAACAACAACCACCACCTCGGCTCTGCCCGGCATGCCCTAGGACGTGACCCTCAATGCTCTTCTGTTTCTCCTCGGGCCACTCACACGGGAATGGCCACCGAGTCCAGGCTCTCCATGCACTTTTGGATCGGGCCGGGAGGTCTGATGCCTGCGTGGTAATACTTCTTCTCGAAGATGCTCTGAGCCTTTTCTCTGGGGGAGGGCAGCAGCGTGGACATGACTGGAGAGCGCATGTTAATGGCTTTTTTAATCGCTGGGCGCTTGGCCATCATTCTCCTGTTTGGGGGGGAGGTGATAGTGAGGTTACACCATATTTAGGGTCTGTTGCCTAGGCAGGTCCTTGAGCTGAGGAAAGCATCCCAGGGCCACACCTGAACTGCACAAAAGTCATGCGCTTCTTCTCGCCGCCCGATTCCTCGTCCTCGCGCTTGCGCCGGGGAATGTTGAACATGTTGGAGCGAAAGAGTCTCCCGATTTCTTCTTCGATCTCCGTCAGGTGTTGGCGTCGGAAGACAATCCAGGCAATGTAGGTACAGAACGTGAAAAAGGACTAGAATGGAAGAGAGGCCAGAATCACAAGCCACGGCCAGGCTAGGAGCAACTCCACGCTGTTCGTAGAGCCCCAGGTGCCCTCGGCTGATGCCAGCTCAGCGGCAACCCCATGGGTCTCAGGGCCGTGACCTTTCAGAAGCAGACCGCCAGGCCTTTCTTCCAAGGCTCCTCTGGGTGAGTCTGAACCGCCAACCTTCCCCTCAATGGTCATGTGCTTGGCTGCTTGAGCCACCCAGGCACTCCGTCGTAGGACACTGTTAAGGAGACTCAAACCCACATGGCTCAATTTCTCAGGTTTCCCGAGAAGCTGGCAGGGGAAGAGGAGGGTATTCCACGTGAACTCATCTTCGCAGAAGGAAAATCAGGCCGAAAATCTACGGGCTGGCATTTACCTGATCCACGCCATTTTAGAAAGGGCACTCACCCCAAATAAATGGCTGACAAGTGGCTACTGGCCATCGCCACACTTGATGTCTCCTACCAAAGAGGAACCCCCAGGGCAGAGCCGACTCACCTCGAAGAACTTCCAGTCTTTTTGTGTGTCTGAGATCTTCTCCCTGCGATAGAACAAAGCACAACGACCAGACCACCGTCTGGGCGGGAACTTCCGTCTTCTGGCCAGCTGGACAAGCCCTCCTGGTTCCCAAGAGCCTCCCGTGCAGTCACCACCCACCATGATGTCAAGGACATAAAGGCGAGCCAAAGGAATGCCCGCTGAGTCGCAGTTCTTTCCTCTCTCCAAGGTACTCAAATCATTAGCTACTGAATCCAAAAACTCCACCTGAACACGTCAGAGGAAACTTATTCTTCCAAAGCCCTCATGTGCTGTGAGCCCTGGGAAGGTGAGGAGGGTGGAAAGGTGACGACGAAGTCAGTGTGTAAAGAAAGAACTAGGGGCTAAGTCTAACAGGAATAAAAGGAACCTGCAGGGAGGTTGAAGGAGGTAGAGATGGAGGAGCTAATGCCAAGCACACCACCACTACCACGAAGGCTCTAAAATGGATTGTGGTGATGACAGTACAGATCTCCTTGACGTGACTGAACTATTGGATTGTGTGATCTGTGGGTTATGTGCCAACAGAGAAAAGAAACCTCACACAAAAGTATGGCTATTAGATGCCGGAAGAAAGTTGGTCAAGGGTGAGGCCTTGCAATCAATAAACTGGGGACAGCTGTACACCCTTCCTGCGGAATGAGGGGTGGAGCTTTGACCTTCTCTCTTAAAAGCCTTGTCCTTGCAACACAATTTCCACGTTAAAGACACCGCTTGGGCACACTCGGTGAACTTGGCCTCCACTCCCGACACCATTCTGATTCAGATGCCCAGCCTTCAGAGAAGGGGCAAACCCTCATCCGGGGGTTTGAAATTGTAAAACAGTACAGCCAAAGGTGGGGAAGGTTTGGCGGGTTCTCAAAAGGTGAAGCGGTTACCATGTGATCCAGCAGCTCCACTCTTAGGTATCCAGCCACGAGAGCCGAAAGCAGGAACACAGAGAGGCTGTATGGCGACACCCATGGTGGTGAGATTCACTGTAGCCAACAAGTAGAAAGAGCTGAAATGGCCCTTCAACAGATGAATGGTTTAGAGAGGTGCGTCTACTCAGCCAAGAGAAACCAAGCAGAGACCATGCTTCAAGACGAGCCTTGACTGAGGGCCATGGATGAAGCGAGTCAGTCACACTGCATGAGCTCCTGTCTTGGACTATCGAACAGGCAAGGGCAGAGATCCAAGAGGATGGACGAGTCACTACCGGGCGTTGTGCAGGAGGGGGACAGAGAACGCGCCAACGCTGTTAAGGGTGCTGTGCTGATATAATTTGGGAGCAGGTTAAGAGTGAGGATTGGACGATCTGATGAATATAATGTCAACTAACTATATATGTGAAGACTGTTGGGCTGTCAAATCATTTGCTACGAAAAAAAAATCATTTGCTACGTATCTACATATGCATCACTATAAGACTGAGAAAAAAAGCAAGCATCAACCAGGTGTGGCTTGAGGGGGCTGGGCACCTATAGTCATCATGGTGACAAAGGCCAGACATTCCAAGGTTTTGTTTCTGCTTTTGCTTGTCTTCTTCGGAGCCCCAGGATCCTAGCGCTTCAAAGGCATCCTAACGCTCATCTGGAGAAGGTGACCACACCCTTCGGCCAAACCTCGTCTTCTCACAGGGACACCCATCTGGGTCTCCACACGAGCCGTCTCAATGGGACCACATGTGGTGATGGCAGAGGTTTAGAAGTTCTACATCCTACCAGTGAGGGCTGTAGTTAGCTCTGTTTACAGTTTAACTTTGTGCTTGTTCTGGTCAGGTGCTGTGAAGTCGATGCTGACTCAGAGCGACCCAAATGCTGTCCAGTCCTGCGCCATCCTCACAATTGTTCTGACGCTTGCGCCCATTGTTGCACCACTGTGTCCCTCCCTCTAGTAGAAGGTCTTCCTCATTCTCACTGCCCTTCTGGTTTACCAAGCACGGTGCTCTTTTCCTGATAGGTCCAAAGTACATGAGAGGGAGTCTCACACCATCCTCTCTAGCAAGGGATTTCATCTTTGTCTTTGATTTCTGAGAGATTTCCTGAGTGATTGGAGTCTGCTATCCTGAGAACTCCAGACCACACCTGAGAGTTTATATTAATGAAGTGACCTTGGATCAGGGTGAGCTAAGCCACAAAGACCCACCCTGTGATTTCAGCCAAGCCTCAGGGGAGCTGGTCTAGAAGCTGCGAGTTTAATCACAAGGCCCACTGCTGTCCAGTCAATTCCAACTCACAGAGACCCTCCGGGGCAGAGTGGAACCGCCACACAGGTTTTCTAAGGCTGTAGAGCGTGACAGAAGCACACCGCCTTATCTTCCTCTCATTGGGCAGCTGAGGGGTGGCAGCTGGTGACGTTTCTGTTAGCTGCCCAACACTGAGGCCACAAGGCCACCTGGGCGCTATTTAACCAGTTGGGCAATGAGTACAAGGATCATGCCCCATAAAAGCTCAGGACACTGGGTCCCCACGAGGTTCCTAATTGAGGACAGGCATCAAGGCCTGGGGGAGGAGAGCCTGGCCCATGGGATATGGAGGCCCTGAGCTGGGAATCTTCCAGCTCTTGCCCTGTGCCTCTCCTCTTTATGCTGGTCCTGATTTGTAGCCCTTTGGCTATACTAAAATGATCATCGTAAGGTAAAGTGACCAGACGGCTCGCTTTTGGCAGGACAGTCCCGATTTTTAACAATCTGTCCCTATTTTTGGAAAGAATGCACGACAAGCTAGGGTACACGGTTTTCGGCTGCCATGTGGCTATTTCGCCAGGATCTGAGTTTTATCAATGGTGTCCCGCTTTGCCAATGTTCAAATCTGGTCACCTTATCGTAAGGCTAGTGCTTTCTTGGGCCTTGTGTCATTCTAGTGAACGTTAAACCTGAGGCAGCAGTGCAAGCCAGCAGGTCAGAGGTCAGAGGGGGATCCTGGAGAACTTCTGGAGCTATGGCTGGCATTCTGAGGGCATCGAGGGAGCCATGAATGGGTAGGCAGCAGGTCAGGAGTAAGGTTGGGTGAGACTCCCTCAGCTTATAACTGGTGTCTGAAGTCTTGGGCGGAGTTGGCAGTCAGTCTGAAGGATGGTGAGAGCATTTAGAGCTGGTATCGGAATAGGGCTGAATTGATGGACTCGTTTACAAGCAGAATCCAAAGGAGGCTGGAAAAGTCTATCTAGTGGCAAATCCAGGCCTTGTTGCTGGCTTGTTCTGATGCGTTCCCGTTCCTTCTTGCTACCTTAGGCTCTTAGCACCTCACCAAGGAGGAAGGTACATTGCAATCTTAGTAATTTCTAAAAGGCACGCAAAGCTTTGTCTCATCTTTCTCCCATGGAGTGACTGGTGGGTTCAAACTACTGATTTTTGGTTCGCAGCCCATCATATAACCCACTAGGCCACCAGAGCTCCTCTTCTCTGAAGAGAGTTTTTATATCCTCTATCCTGTTGGCTAAGTTTCTTAGGAGTGCTCTAATAATAAGAAATGTGTTTAATAGATGTGGCTAAAATAACAAATTATGACATAAATTGGTAAAGCCAACTGTATTTTTATATTTGTCTTCAAGAATATATTACTAAACATTTATGAACAGGAAAATGGATAACAAATTAATTATGGTAAATCTATAATACCTATAGTTTAAGAACTATGTGTACTAATGGTAGAGCGATGTGTACTAATATCCAAGGTTGATAAGTTTCAAAAGTATGCTTCAGAATGACACAGAGTATGATCCCGTGAATGTTAAAAAGCCACCCATCACCTGCCAGTTGACTGGACTGTGGTGTCCTGCACGTTGCTGTGATGCTGGAAGCCATGCCACTAGTATGTCAAATACCTGCAGGGTCACCCATGGTGGACAGGCTTCAGGACAGCTTTCAGACAGCCTGACTAGGAAGAAGGAATTGACAACTTAGTTCTGAAAAACAATGGCCAGTAAAGACCGTAAGAAAAGCAGCAGAACATTGTCTGGTACAGGGCTAGAAGACAAGCTTTTCACGCGGGGGGGCCCTCAAAATACAAACAACAGCACCGAGTAAATAATACCATACGCAAGTAAAACTATGCTGATGATAACTTTACAATGGCTATTGTAGTACATCAACTGGGAACTTTCAGGAATTCTAGCTGTATTCAAAAGAGGGTGTAGAACAAGGAATATCACTGATGTCAAGTGGATCTTGGCTGAAAGCAGAAAATACCAGAAGGATGTTTACCTGTGTCTTATTGATTATGCAGAGGTATTCGATCGTGTGGATCATAACAAATTAAGGATACCATTGTGAAGAGTGGGAATTCCAAAACACTTCATTGTGCTCACACATAACCTGTACGTAGACCAAAAGGCAATCATTCAAACAGTGAGAGGACACTGTGTGGTGTAAAATCAAGAAAGGTATCCATTATATCCTGTCATCATACTTATTCAACCGCTATTATGAGAAAATAGTCCAAGAAACTGGACTGTCTGATGAGGAATGTGGCATCAGGATTCTTGTTTTCAGGCACCATGAAGTTGGGACTGAGTGGCCCCGTGTACAACAAAACAAAACACTGCCTTGTCTGTGCATCCGCACAATTGTTGTTAGGTTTGAGCCCATTGTTGCAGCCATCTTGTTAATTCACCAAGTTGAAGGTCTCCCTCTTTTCCGCTGCCCCTCTACTTTACCCAGCAGGATGCCCTTCTCCAGGAGCCGATCTCTCCTGACAACATGCCCGAAGTGAGAGGAGGTCTCAGGGTCTTGCTTCTAAGGAGCATTCTGGCTGTACTTCTTCCAAGACAGAGTTCATTGTTCTTGCAGTCTGTGGCACTTTGAGTATTTTCCACCAGCACTGAACTTCACATGCACCGATTCTTCTTCCGTCTTCCTCATCCACTGTCCTAACTTTCACCTGCATATGAGTTTGAGTCAGGCACACCTTAGTCCTCAAAGTCGCATCTTTGCTTTCCATACATTGCAGAGGTCTTGTGTGAGAGATTTACCCAATGCCAGGTGTCATCATCTCTCTGAACTGCTGCTTCCATGAGCGGATGGCAATCTAATTCAAACTGACCAGTCCACTTGAGCTCACAGGTGCCTAGGATATCCATCCTTATGAGGCCCACTCCTTTTGATGACTTCTAATTTTCCTAGGTTTATACTTATGTTTCAAGTTCCAGTCATTAATAGATGTTTGCCATTGTTTCATCTCATTTCGAGTAGTGTCTCATCAGCACATGAGGGTCTGCAGGCTTTACTGACTCTACTTTGAGAAGGCAGCGCTTCCACAGCCGTATTGTGAGTGCCTCCTGACCCGAGGGGCTCAGCCGCAGCACTGTCTCTGACAACGTTCTGCTGCTGCTCCTTTAGTTTCCAGTATCTGATACCGTTCTGCTCCGAATTTTTAAGGTTTTCAGTGGCCAATTCCTCTGAAGTAGATAGCTTGTTTTTCCTTTGTAGACTCTTTGTAGTCTGGAAGCTCTGCTGAATCCTTTTGGGTGAGCCTGTAGGTATCTGAGATACCAGTGACATAGCTTCCAGCATCACAGCAACACAGAGGCCGCCACAGCAAACAAACGGACAGACACCTGGAGGCAAGCTCGTGAACAACCTGCAATGTACAGATAATATAATCTTTCTTGCTGAACGTGAAAAGGGCTTACTGATGAAGATCCAACACCGCAGGCTTCAGACAGATTAAACCTCAATATCAAGAAAACAAAAACCCTCACAAACAGGTCAATAAGCAACATCACGGTGGAGAAAAGATTGAAGTTGTCAAGGGCTGGAAGCAGCAGTTAAGGAATCAAAAGGATGACTGGTATTGGGTAAATCTGCTGCCAAAGACCTCTCTAAGGGATTCAAAAGCCAAGGTAACATGTCGACAACTAAGGTGCACCTATGCCAAGCCATACTATTTTCAGTCACTTCATATCACTGCAAGAACTACACAATAAATATGTAAGACAGAAGAACTGATGCATCGGACAAAGAACTGAACCTACCATGGACTGTCTTGGAAGAAATACAATCAGAAGGCTCTTTAGAAGTGTGTATGGACTGTGATCAGAGCTGTAAGAGCCCCCAATAAAATGATTAAAAAAAAAAAGGTGAGGATGGCAAGGCTTTGTCTCACATCCTTTGGACATGTTATCAGGAAGAACCGGTGCCTGGGGAAGGCCATCAAGCTTGCTAAAATCGAGGATTAGCGAAGAAGAGAAAGATCCTTAATAGATGGATTGACACAGTGGCAGCAACAATGGGCTGGAATACAGCCCGCAGTGACGGTGAGGATGGTGCAGGACCGGACAACGTTTCATTCTGTGTCTGAGGCTGCTGACTCGATGGCGCCTAACAGCCAGAGAAAACATGATTGGAAAGCCGGCTATTAGTAAGAAAACAAGTATACAGATTCATAGGTCATAGGATGTGTTGTGGCACATTTCAAATTGATCAAAGACTTTGGCATTTTCAAACATTAGACTGGAAAGTGTCTGAAAGGGCAAGAACCTGTGTGACTGTCACTAACACCAGAAAGCAGAAGAATGTGGACTTTGAGCCAAGAGAAGAGGCAGGAACGAATTAAGCGGGTACTCACTTTCCACAGCACATGTGATGCTTGTCAGGCATTCCCAGGCCGAGTACGAGGATACAGTACTTCTGCGCCAAGTATTTCTGGGCTGCGTCTAACTTACTTAACACCAATTCCATCTCTTTTTTCTCTACAAGAGCTCTGAAAAGAAGAACGACCATTTGGATTAATTTTGGAAAATGCCCATGTCAATTAGTGAAAAGCTACAATTATAAGCTATTTTTTTTAAATGCAAAGGAGTCGGCAGATCTCACTCCTTATTTAATCTGTGTTATGATGTAGGAAGGTCCTCAAGATCCCCTATGGTTAATATTGTACTTCATATCTCAAGTCTATGGTCAAGTTTCACTTTTTCTTTATAGATCATCTGTATTTTATGCTTTGTATCCTTGATTTTACACACTTTGGACAGCTTGTCTAGAGAGACTAGTCCCCGAGTAGGCCATCATGCTTGGTAAAGTAGAGGGGCAGCCCTCAATGAGACAGATTGACACCGCGGCTGCAGCAATGGGATGAGGCATAGGAACAATTGT